AATTTTTTTTGCCACAATGGTAAATGAGATTGTTTTTTCAGCTTCTCTTTCTGTGAGTTCATCATTGATGTATGCCATCAATTTCTTGATGTGAATTTTGTATCCTGTTACTTTGCCAAATTCATTTATTAAGTCTAGTAGATCTTTGATGGAGTCTTTGAGGTTTTCTATGTATAATATCATGTCATCTGTGAATAATGACAGTTTCACGTCTTCCTTTCCAATATTGATCCCTTTCGAGGCTTATAATCTTGAATCAAGAGAATAAGGATGTGGTGATATATGAAGAGCAAAAGCTATATTTAGGTTTAAGAAAAGAGAAAAAAATTGTTCAGTAGGAAAGTAATCAAAGAAGGATAACAAGCAGGCTGACCAGGACCCGGAAGCAGAGGGAAGGAGGTGAAGTACGTGGGTAACTGGGAAGACTGCTGGTAGAAAGTTGAGCAGGCCCAAGAGAGCTTTCCTTCCTCTGAGTTCTCAACACTGATGCTTCAAAAAACAGTAACTTCAAACAATGAATGAGCTTTCATCCTCCATCACCACAGTGCTAATCATATGAAGCTATTTCAGGATTTTTACTTTTGCTCTTAAGAAATGTTGACATCTGTTCAGACAGAAATCCTAATATTTTATTGAAAAACTAAAATCTTTGTAGATGAACACCATTTTTTTTTTCATTTAAATTTCTTTTTTTCTTTATTGATTTTTAGAGAGAGAGGTATGGAGAGGGAGAGAGAGATAGAAACATCAATGAGAGAGATCATCAACCGGCTGCCTCCTGCATGCCCCTCACTGGGGATTTGGCCCACAACTTGGGCATGCGCCCTGACCAAGAATCAAACAGGCAACCTCCTGATGTATGGGTCGATGCTCAACCACTGAGCCATACTGGTCAGGCTGAACACAATTTTTAAAATTAATTTTTTTAAAGGCAAAAATGAACTAATTACCCTCCTAAATTTGATAAAAAGTTTTAGGAAAGGGTCTCTTCAACTTTGGGCTAATATGTTTTATAGCTCTAAACAATTCAAATTTCTGACCATTTGGCTCAAGTCTGTGTTAGTTCTTTTATGGATACAAGAAAAAACTGTAGACAAGAATACAGAGGAAGGAAATTAATGAAACGACAAAACCTCTGAGCTCCCTCCTGGACCCAGCATCTGGGCCCTGCGCTCCCTGTGGTGCAGGAGGCTTGTCCAGGGCTTTGACCCATTTTTACATCATCCTTGACTTCTGGCAGTCAGGCCGGGCTTGCTAGGGCTTCCAAAAAATACTGCGAACCACAGATGCTGCAATTTCCTTTTTCACTCCAAATATGCAGTAGATGTCTTGATTCAAGACCTAAGCACTGAAATTCTGTTCTATCAAATCAGCTAAACATAGGCCAGGGAAACCCTGAGAGCAACTTTCAATCAGACCCATTAATCATTCCACCAATCGCTCAATATAAAATAAAGGCAGACTTAGCCAAAACTCAGCGCATGTTGAGCTATCAGGAAATTTCTAAAGACCGATAGTAGAACATGACATGAGAGTCTTCTCAGCTTCCTTGAAGAGTTCACACATTTGTTCCAATACTACCCTTGGGCAGGGATATTTCTTTATTTATGGAATGTGCTGGTCACTAATGTGAACACTATTAAAACGGTTTCCTTGTTTCTCCATGAAACTCTGTTGTCTCTGCTTGCCCACACTTTAGCTTTGAAGTGTGTGTGTGTGTGTGTGTGTGTGTGTTTAATAAACAATGATATACAAGGAAAAGCACATATGTAATAAGGCTTGTGCTTGATGAATTATCACAAAATGGAACCATCTCTGTAACTACCACCAAGGTCAAAAAAGAGCCCTTACCCAGCCCCTCAGAGGATATTCTCCCCTCCTCCTCAAATACAACCACTATCCTGACTGCTCCGAATTTTAAAGACAGTTAAAACTAAACTAAAGATAGTTAAAATAAAATAATTCTTATAGTCTTCTGATGTGAATAAATACACATGTAGCCAATTATCTTTCTCCAATGAATTGTTTGATATGCTTTTTTTTTTTTTTATCACCGAAGTTAAGTACCACACAATCAGGTCTTCTTCCCTCCTGATGAGGTTCACAGGACCATATGACATGGATGACGTTTCATCAAACCCAACAATACACCTTGTGAGGTCTAAGGAATCTGTGGAAAGGGCTTCCTTCCAGGAATGTAGAGAGAGAGCAGTTCTTCAGCTGGTATGGTAACCCTTGATATGAACTCCAGTATTCCCTGCACCCTGCTATCCATGCCCTTGTGTAATTCCCCTCTGTGAATCCAGGATGACCCAGTGACTTGTTTCTGATGAATAGAATACTGTAAATATTGTCATGTGACATCATAATGGAGATTGGAATATGATCCAACTTGCTCATTTACTGTCATTGTCCTACTTGCTCTCAGGAAAGTCAATTTCCATTTTGGAAGTTGCCCTATGAAAGGCTCCAGGGCAGCCCTGGCCAGGTGGCTCAGTTGGCTGGAGCATCATCCCATCCACCAAAGGGCTGTGGGTTCGATTCCTAGTTGGGGCACATACCTAGGTTGTGGATTTGATCCCCAGTCAGGACACATACGAGGGTAATTGATCAGTTTCTCTCTCACATTGATCTCTCTCTCTAAAAACACAAAAGCAACAACAAAAATCAATGAAGGTGGATCCTCGGGGGAGGATTCAAAACTAACAGAGGAAAGAAAAGGCTCCAGAGCAGGAAACTGTGTGGACTTCCACCAACAGACAATGAGCAACAGTGATCCTCCGTCCAGCAGCCTGTAAGGAACTGAATTCTACCACAGCCCCAGGAGAGAGCCTGGAGCACCTGCTCTCCACGGGCAATGAATGCAGCCCCGGCTGACTCTTGGCTCACAGGCCCAGGCCACCCCCAGGTTCCTGACCCACAGACACTGTAGAATAATGTGTTTATTATTTGTGGTTGCTGAGTTTTTGAGATCTTTTGTAACATAGCAATAAACACCGAATGCACGGGGAGAAAAGAGCTCAACTGATCAGTTCCATGGCCACAGTGCCTGGAGAGCAAGAGGTCACAGAGTACCACACGGGCCTGGTAAAACCTTTGAGTTCTTTGTACAAACCTGGCCTCCCAGTGGCCAGGCCGGGACATGGTCTTGCGATGGCCTAGAATCCTAAGACTGCTGTTCTATGAACGGTGAGAACACAGTCTTTCTCCTTCTACAGATGGCCTACACTATCTATCCTCTCCTTAGCCTCAACTTCCTATTTCTCCCAACATGGACTAACACATGACCCACTGACATACATTTACTCTTCCTTGAATGTCCTTCCTTCTCATCCTGATATTCATCTCTTAATCATTGGTCAGGTGTCCACATGGTCCCTAATGTCATCAGACAGGTAGCCACTTTCCTCCTCTGGACTACCAAGCACCTCAAGCTTGTCTCAGCTACAACACTAGCATACTGCATTCTGTTTTCCTGTCTGTTTCCATTGGCCAATTGGGGTCCATTCAATGGTCCCAGTGCCCTCCTGGTACATTGTAAGATTCAGACATATTTGTTCAATGAAAAATGTATTCATGTATAGACATTATCACAAATAAGATAGTAAAATCCCAACATATAGTAGCATAGTACACCAAATAACCAAACATTTGTCAACTCTCTACATACTATGATATACAACATATTTGCCTCTGAAATCAGTGCTAGTGATGTTTTTCATCAATAAATGTTAGGAACTGTCACTGCATTTGCATTTTTTAAAAAATCCTCACCTGAGGATATTTTTCCATTTATCTCCAGATAGAGGGAGAGGGAGAGGAAGGGGGGAGACAGAGAGAGAGAGAGAGAGAGAGAGAGAGAGATGCATCGATCAGCTGCCTCCCAAACTACCCCAACCAGGGCCAGGGACCAAACTGCAACAGAGGCATGTGTCCTTGACCAGAATTGAACCCGAGACTCTCTGGTCCGTGAGCTGATGCTCCAACCACTGAGCCAAACCAGCCAGGGCTGCATTTGCATTTTTTTTGTATAATTAAAATACACTTTTCCCTTTGATTTTTCAGCCTCATTTTTGTAACCTTATGGGCTACTTAGGTCTTCTAGTAACTAAATGGGACATCTAACTGAGTCACTCAGCCATCTCTTTGTAGTCTTGTCCTTTGCTGATATTTTTTCCTGCAAAGAGACTCAAATTCTTGATGCAAAATGACACGTAGCAAACAGAATTAAATTGCAGGATCTATCAGGACTTTTCAGCATCTATAAATCCTTGGCTAATTTAGGACCTTTGAGTATCCTGAAGTATCCTGGCCTCCTCCTGTTCATGCTATAATCTAAATGCGAAAGTAGGATGCTTTTGTTATGAGGAACCATTTTAGTTACAGGAGGCCCTGGAAATAGCTTCAGTACATCCTGTACACTGTCCCTCGATCCCATTGTGAAAACATCTGCTGGTCTCTTGCCATGAAGTATGGATTCCCTGCTGCTCGGCTCTTACGGCATATCTTGGCTGCAGAGCCCACAGCTGAGAGTCACTAAGTCTTTGCTGTATTTGAAACCTAGAGAACTTCTTCTGGATGTAGTACAGGATAGTGGCACTTTGTGATAAATCAGGTGAAATACCAAGGTCTTATTCATATTACTGTTCATGCTCACCAACTGACCATCTCAAGCTCTCATCAACATTTATGCTGCTAGGTAGAAGGGCACATACACAAAAATTGCATGTGGTTCTTGCCTTCTAGGAGCTTAACGTCGGAAATTTTATACCAGAGTAAAGGTGAAAATGCAAGCCTATGTAGAACAGTAGATTAGTGCCACCCTGTGAATGTTCTGGTGCGTCAAGAACACCAAGAGTCACCTCACCTCACAGAGACCAGATTTGCTTAGACTGTCCTCCCTTCCACCCACACAAACACACAGTGGCGTGAGTCTCTGCAGAACCAGCCACTCTTCACCCCATATTCACAGCGTTCATCCACAGTTTGAATCTTTTTACCTTTAATGTGCTATTCAAGGTTCGGATTTTGTGGAGTTTCTCATTGATGGATGGATTTTTACACCGCTTCACAAAGGACTTTCTCAACTCCTTTTTGGTGGAAGGTCGTCGGTCCCCAAGAGGAGATAGACTGGCTTGCTCTAAGGATTTGTAGAGCTTCTCCATTTCATCTTCAGACACTTTTGCTTCCTCTATTAAAATAAAAAGGCAATAACAATTAACTCAGTTAAAATCAAGGTGAGAACACTGGACACTGTGGTCCTAAACACTATGTTAGGACCTATGACACTATGATCTCAGACTTCTAGCTTCCAGAACTGTGAGACAATAAATTGTTGTTGACTAGGCCACTCAGTTATGGTACTTCATTATGACAGAGTCATGTTTCCTTTGAAGGCACTAGGGCAGGACCTGTTCCAGGCCTCTCTCCATGCCTTGGGTTGTAGCAACATAACTCCAATGGTCACAGGGTATTCTCCCTGTGTGCATGTCTCCCAGTCCAAATGTGTCCCTTGTATAAGGACACCAGTCATTCTGGATTAGAAATCACCCTACCGACCTCATCTTAACTAATTACGTCTGCACCTACTCAGTTTCTCGTAAGGTCACATTCTGAGGTGAGGTACTGGGGGTTAGGACTCCAACATAGGAATTTTGGAGGAACGCAATCAAACCCATAATAGTCCACCATCTAGCCAGCCAAAATTCATGTCATTCTCACATGCAAAATACATTCATACCATTCCAACATCTCCAAAGTTTTAACCCATTCCAACATCAATGCTAAGTCCAAAATCTAATCCAGATATCGTCTATATCTGGTATTGGTGGGACTCAAGGAATGATTCATCCTGTGGCACACTTCCTCTCCATCTGTGAACCTGTGAAACCAAAGGAGTTATGTGTTTCTAGAATATAGGGATGGATAGGCAAACTAATACACACCACCCCAAGTCTGGAACTACTGCACGAGATGACTTCTGATGTTCTTTTTAGAACTGCCCTTTGAGAGAAGACACCTACCTCTGGTCTGTGGCTTTGAGCAGATAAAGACCATTTTTGGTGCTGCCTCTACTCACATTCCTAAATAGGCCTCTCCAGCCTCAGCCAAAATTCATCTAGTGAAGCAATTCCACCCAAGATCCAGGGGACCAGATGTGCTGGGCTAATCCCATGGCAGTTCCATCATGTTGGCCACAGTCATTGATTTAGGAACGAGCAGGAGTTTCAGGTCAGACTAGTTGGGGCCAGGGACCTCCGTTCTGAACTTTGGTTTGGGGATATCAGGGAATCATTTTCTCTTTTTTCCTAAACTAAGTGGTGTGATGATAAGAGTTAGCAGATTCCAGGAATCATCCCAAGAATCGTGAGAATGGAGCCCATCTATAGGACACAGCTGAGGCAGGCTTCTTGGTGATGCCATGAGAGCTCTCTCAGCCACGGGAGCCAGCACAGTGCCTTTGCTAAGATAACCTTGGGTGTGGTTTCAGTCCCGTGCACCCAAGGGGACTCCAAACAATACAGAAGGTTCCCCAAAGAAAATCTTCATATCCTGATGTTGGTTTAATTTCTTACTAAGGACTTCATATCTTTATTCCTTTTTTTTTTTTTTTTTATCCTCACCCGAGGACATTCTTGCATTCATCTTCAGATAGAGCGAGAGGGAGAGAGGGAGGAAAAGAGAGAGAAACATCTATGTGAGAGAGACACACCGACTGGCTGCCACCCCACAGGACCCCAACTGAGGCCAGGGACAAACTGCAACCGAGGTACGTGCGTGCCCTTAGCGGGAACCGAACCCAGGTCTCCCTGGACCGCGGGCCGATGCTCTAATCGCTGAATCAAACTAGCCAGGGCCATATCTTTATTCCTTAATTTCCTGAAAATATATCTTGGGAAAGATACAAAATGAGATTCTTCTTCCATCACATAGTCCTTAGAGTCTATGCATTTACTCCTGTCGTAAGGAAAAGTTTGATAGAGGACCATGTACAAAGTATGGCATTAGGGGATACTAAAAATAGACCTCTCGAAGGAGAAAGAAAAGCATACAATAGTGATCTAGAACCATCAAAATCAAGCAAATTTCACTTACTTTACAATTCACTCTTGTAAGATAAGAAATCTTTAAGCAATAGTTTTCCTCTATTTACTGCCAGAAAGTCATGACAGGTGTTCCCAATACTCTTTTGTTAAATAGAGAACAAAGACGTTGGACTAACTTTGCAACTGACTTAAAGCACTGGTCAGTAAACCTCTTTGTTCTTTACCAAAACAGTCCCCCAAAAAGGGCCAAAATATACAACACTACACTTGAACATAATTAGACTTTTTGGCTCAGGTTGTGTGCCAGATACCAACAGTGGGTTTTTGTCAAGCACACGAAAAACTGCTCAACATCATTAGCCATCAGAAAAATGCAAACCCAAACCACAATGGGATACTACTTCACATCCATGGGGGTGGCTAGAATGAAAAAGACAGACAATAGTAAATGTGGGTGAGGATATAGAGAAACTGGAACCTTTATACATTGCTGGTGGGAATGTAAAATGAAGCCACCACTTTTAGGAGACAGTCTGGCAGCCCCCTCCAAATGCAAAATGTAGAGTTACCATACAATCCACAATTCCACTCCTAGATATTTACTCAAGAGAATTAAAACAGTAATAACATAAAACATGTACATGAATATTCACAGGAACACTATTCATATAGACAAAAAGTTGGAACAGCCTAAATGTTCAACTAGTGAATGGATAAACAAAATGTGGCCTGTACATACAATGGCATATTATTCAGTAAGTAAAAGAAATGAAGTACTGAACATACTACAGGAAAGAACCTTGAAAACACCCTGCCAGGTAAAAGAAGCCAGTGACAAAAAACCACATGTTGTATGAGTCCGTTTATATAAAATGTCCAGAACAGGCTAACCCACAGGGACAGAAAGCAGATTAGTGGTTGCCTGGGGAGAAAATGGAAAATGATCGCTAATGCACTCAGGTTCCTTTTTGTGGTGCTAAAAAGCAAATTAGATTATGGCGACAGTTGCACAGCTCTGTGAATGTACCACAAACCACTGAACTGTATGTTCTTATGTGTGAATTTTATGATATGTGAAACATATCTCGATAAGGGTGTAAAGAATAGAGAATTTTATGAGATAATCACGACTGATGCTCCCTGCACAGAAATACTAAGCATGGTAATAGTCCTGCAGGTAAGCTGGAGGCATTAGAAAGTTTTCAGGAAATTCAATAAAAAGACATCTGAATCTTAGAGGGGACATGCGGATTAAGGATTCCGGGTGTTTTCAGACATACAAGGAGATGCTAATGTTATATACAGGGTCAGGCAAAAGTAGGTTTACAGTTGTTCGTATGGAAAAAATACAATAATTAGTCAATAATAATACAAGAATAGACTCCGTTTCACGTCCTTACAACTGCAAACCTACTTTTGGCAAACCCTATATATTTGTTATACCTAGGCAAGTAGGACTTTACTTCGAATAAAGTTTAAATAAATACATAGCTTTCAGTACCATCGTATTTTTAAAGTAATACATAGTTAATAAACTTCAAGAAGCAAATCAAACAAGCATACAGGACAGCAAACATGATAAACAGAATAATTTCCTTTAAGTTTCACTCTATTCACCAAGCTGTTCAGTTATTCTACTAAAGCTTATGATAGAAAATAAAATTACTCGTGACTAATACATTAGTTTGTAATTATGTCAGAGTAAAATGATATATTGAGATTAGGTATCTAATTCAACTGATATTAAATTGGTAAAGATAAAAACAACTAGAATCTTAGAGTAATATGACATAAAGTACATTACGCAAATGAAAAATAAAGAGGACTGCCTTTTGGATAATTTTCTCGTTGTTTAACATACTTATATGGGTATATATCACCTTTACGTTAAAATATCAGAGGTAACCGCTTTCATACACACATATCCCTTTCTCTGACTTAAACTTTGGGACATTAGCAATAAGAATATAGGTGTGTGTGGGTGTGTGTATAACTTTAAATATAGTTTTATTGTTTTTTTTTTTAGAGAGAGGAAGGGAAAAAGAAACATTGATGTAAGAGATATATCGATCAGCTGCCTCCTGCATACCCCTCACCGGGGATTAAGCCTGCAACCCGGGCATGTGCCCTGACCGGGAATTGAACCAGGACCTCTCAGTCCACAGGACAATGCTCAATCCACTGAGCCACACAGGAGGGGCAGTGTGTGTATAACGTTAAAATTAACATACAGGTAAAGTGTACCTATTAAGATTACTGAAAGTTAATATAGAATTCACCTAAAATATGAACAAATAATATTCTTTATTTGGATTCATTTAGAAATTGGAGATAATAGTGAAATAAGTTAAAGGTGCTGGAGAAATGTCAGGAAAAATAAAAGACGAATCGTTATTGTGCTCCTCTTCTCTCTCAGTCTCCCCTTAGAGGAAACCTTAAACTGAAAGACTATGTGTCTAACTTCTAATAACCTGACTCCAGAATTGCCCACAAACGAAAGTGCAATAAAAGAACAAATGGAGATGGGAGTAGTAAAAAAAAAAAAAACCTTATTGGCTATTTTGTGTCATAATCTGAGAGACATACAATGCACCTGTGGTCGAACCATGTCCACGTCTAGCCAAAGACTTTATATTGTTTTTACTGCTGCTAGTGCTGGTGCGTAGGTCTTCACAGAACCATAAAATGAGCATTCAGTAATAATGGAAGCAGATGATAAATAGAATCACGGGGGTGGGAAGGATCCAGGGATATACGCACACAATGAAACACAGCTTGGCCTGAGCCCAAACAGAAGGGGGCCCTTTCCCAGTTGCTACACAAAGAGTGGCACTGGCCTGTTGGCTCACACGACTGTCCCTGGACCTTTAAGGGGCTTCTCCATAAACTAATATTATAAAAAGCTCCCTATCATATTTTTATGTTATATTTTTCTAAATTACAATAAATATTTGAAAGCACTGGTTTATTTCTCTTATCTTACCAGATTGTAAAAAGCACAAAAAGAAAAAAAAAAAGACTGGCAGAAAAGGCCACTTATCTCTCTCCCATTGGGAACAGAAGCCAAGTTAATTATTTCCACTTCCCTTGTCTTCTGGTGCAAAATAAATTAATTCTGTCAGACAGCCAAGTGTTTCCAATGCAA